AGCCGCTGCTCGCTTCGTAGCGGGGGGGCGGCGAGGCCTGGCGGCTGCAAGCCGCTTGGGCCTCGCTACGGAGCCAGAGGGGGGGTGGGGAGATCGGTGAGCCGGAGGGGGGGTGGAGGCGACAGGGAGGAATTGGTGGGGAAGGAAACTTACCTGCTGCCGTCTCTGCTTCCTCCTCCTGCTCTGCCTGGAGCTCCCCCCCCCCCTTGCGAGTATCACGGGTCCCCTTTCTTGTAAATATCCTAAATTCGGAGTGCCTGATCAAATTAGATATCATTCAGTCCCGATGGCATATTTAACACACCTTGATATAAATAAATATAGGAAAGCCTTCACACTCGCTAGATGTGAGGCTCTCTGCAGCGCTCGAGGGCAGATGTAGAAGAGTTCCCCTTGCACACAGAGACTTTGTAAATGTGAGTCTGGGGAGACAGAAACTATTGAACATATAGAAACTATTGAACATATGATGTTTAGATGTAAGTGGTACAATGAGGCTCGAGATAAGACTAATTCAACCTCTTATTAAAGGGATGCCTGGGCAGACAGACGCCAAGTGTTGTAATAAACTGTTATCGGATGAAAGTCACTCTATTACTAAGATTGTGGCTAGATTTTGGGTGCCATGCTGCTGCGTTCAAAAAGGACAGCTTAACTTGTGAAATCGCAATTCTCTCCTTTTTAGTGTGTTTTTTAGTGAATCTGTTATATGTATTCTATATTTTTATATTGTGCAGTTCATGATGTTTTATTCTGGTGCCCCTTGCTGGGGTGTTTGGATTGCTCTGGCCGGATGCCGTAATAAAATTTCATTCATTCACCGCCTAGCCTACCTCATAGGATTGTTGTGGGGATAAAATGGAGGGAAAGAAAGTGATAAAAGTCACTTGGGCTCTCCACTTGGGGGGAAGGGCGGGGTCTAAATGTGGTAAATAACTAGTTCCAGACTCCCAGTCTTTGGGATGGATTGCATTGGAAGTTACTCAGTTGTCTTCTAATTAGTGGTTGGTATACTGTTTTTGATTGTGTGAATTCCCTTTTTTTGATTGTGTGAATTTCCCTATTCTTTGAGCCAGTTTGGTGTAGTGGTTAAATGCACGGACTCTAATCTGGGAGAACCGGGTTTGATTCCCCACTCCTCCACTTGCACCTGCTGGTGTGACCTTGGGTCAGTCACAAGCTCTGGCACAGCTGTCCTTGAAAAAGAGCAGTTTGTGTCAGAGCTCTCTCAGCCCCACCGACCTCACAGGGTGTCTGTTGTGGGGAGGGGAAGGGAAAGGCGTTTGTAAACCGCTCTGAGACACCTTTGGGTAGTGAAGGGCAGGGTATAAATCCAATCTCTTCTTCTCTTCTTCTTCTTTGAGGACGGTAAAAAAAATGGGAGAAAAATAATAAATAGCATCTGCATTGTGTTTGCACAAAACCTGTTTAAGTCTTAAGGGAAAACAGGATTTAAGGATGGACAAACTTACTGTGCCTTGATATTTGAATAGGGAGCTTGCCTTGGGAATAGAGAGAAAACAATGACACTTTTTGTAGGAGCTTAAAACTTTGACTTATTGGGCAGTGTTGGCTGAAATTCCCTGGGCTTCCCGAAACCCAGGGATGGCTACTCAGGGTCCATGGAGTCCTTTTGCCAGCTTTATGGCTGGATGACCTTGGGCAAGCCATAGCTCTGGTAAGAGCTGTTCTTGAAAAAGAGCCGTTTCTGTCAAGCGCTCTCTCAGCTCCACCGACCTCACAGGGTGTCTGTTGTGGGGAGGGGAAGGGAAAGGAGTCTGTAAGCCGCTCTGAGACTCCTTTGGGTTGTGAAGGGCGGGGTATGAATCCAATCTCTTCTGCTTCTGCTTCTTCTTTAGAAATATGGGTCAGATATTTTTCTTTGGGGAAGATACTCGAATTGGGTTGAGAACAGGACAATGGAGTCCAAACCGGCATGTTTGGAGAGTGTCGGAAAGCTGGGTTTCCCACCCTGTGCCGTAGCGTTTGCATCGGCTGATAGCAGGGAGCAGGGAGAAAAACTTGTATTCCTTTTGACGTTGAGCATAGTCTCATTAATTCTCGGGATTACGTAGCGCTGAGGGAGAGTAGAAGGGAAACGGCAGCATACTGGCTTAAAACGCTGAATGAAGGGCCCTGGTTTTGTATTTTGGAATATGCATCACAGTACACATATTGTGTCTCTCTTCTCTCTCTCTCTCTCCTCTCTCTCTCTCTCTCTCTCTCTCTCTCTCACACACACACACACACACTCCCTCTCTGTGTGTAAAATGCGGTCCAAAGAAAACACAAGGCAGCCAAAAAGAAACTGTAGTACTCTTTGAACTGGGATCAGTTAAGAAAAGAGTGCATTAATTTCAGGGCAAGGCGAACAACGTCGGGGCAGCCGCCTTTACGCTGCCATTAGGTCTCCTCCAACGGTTGGATTCTTCAAAGAGGAAATAAGAGGGGGAGAGAGAGAGAGAGAGAGAGAGAAAAGCCCAAGCCGGGTGCCCCAAAATAGCTAAGAAAGCTTTTTTTTTTTGGAGGTGTAGGTTTATAATACAAAGTTTTAATCCCTTCGATGACAGCAACAACAACAAAAACTCATGCAGTTTTCTCAACAAGGCTTCTTATTTGTTTCAGTCCTGAAAGTTCTTCGGGAGAAAGGGTCAGCGTTAAATTGCTGGGTGAGCAGACTGTCAGCCTTACCTCACAGGGCTGTTGTGAGGGTATAAAAGCGAGGAGAGGAGGACAGGGTAAGCGGCTTTGGGTCCGCTGTTAGGGAGAAAAGGGGAGGTGTCTCAAGGAGGTAGATTAAAAAAAAATCTGCATAGATTCTGCCCTGATAACCAAGCAGCAGAAAACACCAGTTTGGTGTAGTGGTTAAGTGTGCAGACTCTAACCTGAGAGAACCGGGTTTGATTCCCCATTCCTCCACTTGCACATGCTGATGTGACCTTGGGTCAGTCACAAGCTCTGGCACAGCTGTCCTTGAAAAAGAGCAGTTTGTGTCAGAGCTCTCTCAGCCCCACCTACCTCACAGGGTGTCTGTTGTGGAGAGGGGAAGGGAAAGGAGTTTGTAAGCCGCTCTGAGACTCCAAGTGAAGGGCGGGGTATAAATCCAATCTCTTCTTCTTCTTCTTCTTCTTCCTCTCATTTATTTTGGAGCCAATTTTAGCCCAGTGCCACTGGTTACCATTGGATAGTCCTGCCGTTTCCTCCAGGCCCATCGGCTTCCTTCATACTTTTATTTATTTATTTATTTAACCTTCGACTTCTATCCCGCTCACCCCCTAGGGGCTCTGAGCGGCTTACAATTCCAATTTCCGGCTGTCGTAACTCCGCCTCCAGGCCTGGACCACTCCGTGCTTCCGCGCATGCTCGCAGCGGCCTCCGTCCAAGTCAGGCTCCGGCCTGCCGCGTCGCTCCGCCTCCGCACCTTGTTGGTCCGGCCTCCTTCGTTCGCCTCCTCGCCTCACCAGCCGCCATTTTTTCTCCGTTGTCGCCACCGTTCATCGCTCTCCATTCTCTGTTCTCCGCCATCGCTGCTACGCCAGGGCCGCGTCCCCCTCCCCCGCTCTAATAGCAGGTCCCCATTTTATCTACTTGCCCTTTAACGGGCTTTCGAACCGCTGGGTGGACGGGAGAAATATGTACATATTTCTTTTAGCCTTCACTGTTAGAAGTCTTTAGAGCCCAAAGCAGTGCAGAAAATCTGAGGGCTTTTTTTTTTTAAAAAAAAATCACAACCCTAACAGAAGTATGCAGAAGGCAGTGCAGTGCAGTGGTTAGAGAGTGTTGGTAATATCTGGGGCTTGGACCAAGTGGTTGGTGTAAGGTGTGTACACATGGACGGATGGACGAGGTGATTCTAATGGTCCATCTCGGATCGTGGGTGGTATTCTCCCAGCGCGGCAACTCTTTTATTTGAAATGGGACTGGACCGATATCCCATTAAAGTAAACTTGGAAAGGAAACTTTATCCGTCAGTAAAAAATGTAATCGCTCT